TGAAGCTGCACACTTTAACTTAAATATTTATTGGCAAGCATGGGCAAATTTGTTTTTTCACCACTCTGTGCCACTAAAATGATGGCGTCCACAAATAAAAATGCTTGTGAATATTATAGGTCCACATTTTCAAAACTCTCCAATGAAGCTGCACACTTTAACTTAAATATTTATTGGCAAGCATGGGCAAATTTGTTTTTTCACCACTCTGTGCCACTAAAATGATGGCGTCCACAAAAGGGGGCAAATATGTATTATATCACTCCCTGTTCTAAATATTTCTTTGACTGCCAACAGATTTTTCAGGTACAATTTTAGAGCCTATCTCAAAAGTTGGACCCTGTCTGTTGAAATTGGGACTGTAATCTAACGAGTTTCTGCAATTTACTTGTCCCTTTGCCAGCGTGAAATATTGAGGTGTGCTACAAACTGAATCAATACATACATCCAATGTGTGCTTTCTTCATGCAGGGATTTGAGACGGCTCGGAGTGACTCTTGTCGGTCACCAGAAGAAGATCATGAACAGCCTTCAAGAAATGAAGGTGCAGCTGGTAAATGGGATGGTACCACTGTAACTTCATGTTAACTTCCTCAAGCGAATGATTCTGCACTTTGTAAACAGCCCTGAAATTTATCTTAACAAAAAAGGGGAAAAGGGAAAACAGTGATTTCTAAACATTTAGGAGAGCGTTTGTCTCACTACAGAATTTGTAATCATTGTTTTACTAAAATCTCCATATCTTCCTTCCAATGTCTTCATTTTTCATGAAGCAAATATACTTACATTAAAAAAAAAAAAAACATGAAGTTCGACATCATCTTACAACAACAAAATCCTTCCCACTACTTCTACAAAATTTTGTATATGGAATATATAAATAGATAGCACCTTTATAGACTGAATTAAGGCAGCCTCTTTCAAAACTTCCAGGGATCTACTTGAAAGGAAAAGTTTTTATAGCCATTTGTGGGCTAACAAAAGCTGCAGCTTACTGAAGTTTACTTCGAGTCTTAATTGTCTACATAAGTGTATTGAAGAGCAATATGATTAGATTATTTCTTAATAGATATCTTTTTTTGTAATTTTAAAATGCTGTTACACAGCGTTAAGTTACAGAAACTAGTGTATAAACATGTTGCTTGATCAAGAACGAGTACAATACAGGGTGTATATTTATTTTTCTGTGTTATAAAATTTATGTTTAGTTGCTCTTCTGGAGACTATTAGGTAACAAATATGTATATACTGTATAATTTGCAATATATCCAGGAACTGATTTCAGTTGGGGTTGTGTGTGTGTGTGTGTGTGTGTGTATGCTTGCACATGTGTGTATTACCATTCTGCTTGCATTTTAATAGCGTTTTAATTTTAGCGACATATAGGAATGACTGTTTCAGAGTGTAATATGAGTAGGAGAAATAGGGAAGCAGTAAAACAAAATTTAACACAAGCATGTGTCTCTTTTCCTCTCGTTGTCCAAAAGCTACTAATCTCTTTATTCACTAACAGGAAATGTGTATAACATTAAATCCCCTTTGACTTTTTAAAAACACTTGGTGATGTCTGTGACAATGCAGTTCTTCTAGCCATTAATCTTGCACCCCTGTAAGAAATGTCACCTTTCTGAGTCCCAGAAAATATCTTGTCAAGCAAAGTTGACACCAAAGGGCACACCTTCAGCAGGATGTAGGAGAATTTAACTGTGCAGACTTCTGTGAATGTTGTTAAATCCAGGCACATAGCACTAAGCATCACTCTTAAGTGTTAATACTTTATAACCATTCCTATTTTGACTCAGTTCTAGAAATTTTGATACTAAGGCAGCAATGAAATGATGACAGATGTATACATATAT